CGCTTGCAAACTCATCAGATTCTGGTCAAGCTGCTGATGATAGGGTCGTAGTCGCCGAACAGGGCGGAGCCAAATGCCTCATTAGCGCGTAGCGCGCCGCGTCTCGACTTTCCGCACGATGCCCTTTGACGCCGGCTCGGCATTCTTCCTCTCTCGCTCCGGCGAATCCGCGTTCAGGGAAGATGAATGTGATTTCTCATTGCAGGTGACTTCACACGGATAAGTCATTCTCGAGGACGCTGATTAAGCGAATCCCTTAGCTCTCCCGGATTCTCCTGAAAATCCTCGAAACTCCAGCCGAGAATCGCGGGCAGATTGCAGCGAGAGATTCCAGAGTTCTGACAAATTCTGGTCCTACCGAGCGTCTTCCACCGAATCAGGACTCTATTCATCTAATTTCCCGCAGTGGCTGAGAGTCGACGATCCGACGCCGATCAAGGAGCCATCACGAAGCATGAAGAGAAGAGCCAAGGAAAACGGGTTCCAGGACCCTTAAACGTATGCTCGGCTCCCAAAACGACGAGGAGCCTCGCAATTCACATCGGAGCCGCTCCGCCGGGAAATATTCTTGTGGGCTCATCTTCGAGGCTCTATAATTTTTGGAGCAGCCACTCGGTGCGATCAAACTCGCGAATCCATGAGCTAGGGTCGAATTAGGAAGGAATAATGTAAATGAGGATTTTTCAGCTCCCTTGAGAGGAGAGTCTGCGGCCGTCGCTGCTCTCGGTTCGACAGAAAGAGCAGAAGGTCTCAAGGTCGGCCGTTGAGCTCGAAGACATCAGAGCTCAATATCGAATCGATTGCTCGAGTCTCTTCGAGAGACAATTTTGCTTATAAAAGATTTTCAACGTCACTACGGGCTCGACTCGGTCTCCGTCTCCTTCTGCGGCTTCTGTTCCGTTCCCTGACGCTTCTTCGTCTAGCCCTCACTCGTCCTTGGTCGCTTCCGACTCCTGTCGAGCCACTTCTCGCACCTTGACACCTCCTCCTCCTGCTCTGTCTCCTTCTCTGCCTCCTTTTCCGTCTCCTTCTCCTGTGATTTGTATTTGGCTCCATTGATCGCTGAATTTCCTGCTCCTGGAGCCTGTTGGCGCTCGCGAGTGCTTCATTCGAGCTCCCGCCTAGAGCAATGCTCAGCCTGTGGAGCGGACCGAAATTCGAGGATCATAGGCGTGCGATAGCGGAGGAACGGGGCTTTTTCTCGTCAGGTGAAAAGATAATGATCATCGATGCAACTCACGCCGGCGTACTCCGCACCCGTCTTGCCCGTCGACGAGCTATTCTCCCTCTACCACTGGACCTTCGCCGGCTTCTGTGGGCGCCGTTCACATTTCTGCCTCTTCCCCTCCTCCTATTTCTATCTCTGCTCCTCCTCGTTCTCCTCCTGGTTGCGAATCTGTTACTGTTCCTCCTCCCATTCCGTCTGCTGGGAGCTCGCCTCCGGTTCAGCGAGCCGCCATCGAAATCTGGAAGTTCTGCTCTTCGGAGGGCCTCGAAAGTAAGCGGGTATCTCGTGTCGCCCGCCGCGTTTGGACGGATGGCCATGACTTGATAGGAATCAGTCCTCTCGTCGTCGCCGATATAGCCAGATTCTCTGACAGGCCTCGGTGCCGGTGCTCCCCGGTCGCGTCTTGGTATCGGGATAAGGGGAAATTCTCTGTGATCCGAAGAGCCCCCATCGTCCATTGATGGCCAATCCAAACGAACTCTCCCCGATTCACGTCTGGATTTCGATTATCGAATCAAGTTTGAGATCGACGGTCTCAGAACTTGGGTATTCTCCAGATACTATAATTTTCTGAAAGCCATCGGAATCGTTGTTTGTCGAATGCGACTCCCGAGTAGTTGATCGAGTCGATCTCTGAGAGTTCACGATTCTCTCTCCGACAAAACCCCTTGACGTTGAATCTTCGGATTTCCTAGTAGAAGAGTAGATTTCCTCCGTAGTCTCGCCGTCGCTTCCGCTGATTTCATGATCGATATTGTCAGGGGAAGGATGCGGCAAACGTCATGGGAGACTTTTTTCTTCATCAAGCGTCAATCTCTCGGGACATAGATTCTTTTCCTGCCAGGCGTAAGCATACCCTTGCCACGCCAGTAGGGAGCAAGAGCAGGTTTTCTCCGGATTTCTGGAGAAACTTCGCAGCGAGCTCAGTTGAGGTTGCATTGGCACACTCGGAGAACCTCACATTGTTCCTGATACAACGAAATCGTATTCGATGAGGAGCTCTTGGAGCTTCAACTGATTACCGTGAGCGGCACAACCGGTACGCGGAATACTCGGGAAATCCGGATTCTAAGAGTGACCTGAGGATTGAATCGAGCCTTGGATTCCAGCGGCGGGCCATCGATTCTCGCTACTCTCGAATAACTCGTTCCTCGCTCCTCCTAAATCGTTCGTTCCTCGCTGGGGGTTCTCATCTCCCACCCTGTCCCGCTGGAACTGCTAGGATTTCTGAAACGTCTGGGCGGTCACGGTGATTCGATGTTCCATAACGTACCCGATGCTGGGATACCACTGGCACTGCATCGTGAGATCAGCGGAGAACTTTGATTCTGACGGTCCCTCGGTTTCCTCCAGTCGCCGCGCTTCAGAAGGCGTGGAACTCCCATCGTTCGAAGGATGGCAAGGGGGCGTGTCAACTGCACAATTAGGATGCTCGGGTGAATCCTTTTCGGGGCACAAGCGCACGATCTCGATCCTGGTCAACGGTGTGAGATTCCCCCTCCGAGAACCTCGATTTCGGCCGCATGAGATCTAATGAGAGGAGTCACTCATTCAAAGCTCCAATCAGACTGGCGCAATCCATACAATGGAGAAAACTTCATCGAAGAGCATCGACTCTATTATGGCCTTGGAGTCGGGGCAACAGCCCGCACGCTCCAAAGCGAAGTAGCTCAGCCTCCGGTGAACGCACAGCTTTCGGAATAGAGGAGACACACGGGCTATCTCTAATGAACAGGCAAAGGGGTAGGGATTAGGGATGGAAATATCCGAGAGCAGAAAATTCAGTTTTCTCGCAACAAGTGTTGGGCCCTCTGTGTGCGCATTTAGAATGTTTTTTTGATTGATCAAATATCGTACGCCAGTATGGGCGGCCGGCCTCGATTCTCTTGCTGGTACTTCGGGGTAATGTACCTATCCAGGATTCGACAGGAAGATCTTCAAGAAGATGACAGCGAGATTTCCTTCTCGAATGTTTTCTCCGATTAGCTCGGTATACAAAAATGAATGGTAGGAGGATACGTCGATACAAGACAGCCGGACGGCGTCTCCATCGTACACGGTGGGGGGAGCGTCTCCAAATCGAAGGTTCCTCGCCTGCACAGTCTTCCTTTGCGGAAGAGGCGCCTCGGGGAGGAGAGAGTCGACTAGCACAGGAGATCGGAAATTCCTTCAAGAACATTTGATTGATTCACGTATTAGAGTTAACCATTCACTACTTCCCTGCCCCGGTTCGAGAACTCCGCACGTGCGGATTTCGTGACGGTGATACATGGCGATTTTCGTCGCAAGTAGCGAGTTCCCAGTTCCCAGTCGATCGGAATCGTCGTCGGCGAGGATAAACGGACAAAAGCCAATAGGCTCGGGAGCACTTTCTGTGTTTTTGGGACGACGAAAGTATCTCGGAAAGCGCCACCGGAGATGGAATCCGAATTTTGGATATCTCGCGCCTTTTGCTTGAGTGTGCTCCTAAAACTGATTGCCGAGCTCGCTCGACTTAGACTACGCGGACGGGGACCGACGGATTTCGTGCGACTCAAATTGCTTGGATACGCTGTGCTCGTTGGAGCGGTTTACTGGTGCTCTCATGTGCCGGCGGGTTCGCATTCCGAGGGCGTCATCCGGGGTGGTGCCAACAAGGGGCAGGAACCACATGTCCAGAGAAAGAATCCGACTTTTCACTATCGGAGACCGGACGGAAGTCTTCTCCGTCTCAGCTACGACCAGCTACGAGAGGAATGTGGCCGAGGAACGGTGTTCACGGTCAACATGAGTCAGGTTGTGAGCAACATGACGCTGGAAGAAATCGATAACGTGTTGCAAGAGTGGTACGGCCACATCTTCCTCTGGGAGTGGCCACCGATCCAGCTGACGGTGTCATTAGTAAGGCAACTGCCGGTGGTACTTCAAAGAATCGAGGACGAGAGGATACCTGTAAGGGCGGACGGCTCACTTGACATCAAAAAATCAGGAGATGCCCACTACAGGATCGCGACCGGGGAGGGGAAGTCACTTGAAATCTTGGCCTCCAAGATTGGAATTTGGCAATTAGCTGCACGACTCAGAGCTATTGGCGTGAGGATGTTCGCCTTCGAGATGGAAGTGAATTTCTCGTGGAGGGAACTTGACGCTTTCCTCTCCGGTGTTCTTGAAGAGCGAGACTTCCGTATGATTCTGATGGGTACCTGGAAGAAGATTCATAGAAAGCACTTGGACGAGATCTATGAACATGATTCCCGGCGCCAGATCGAGTTTGAAGAAAATTGGGTATCCGTTGACGAGCAAGTTCTGGACTTCTTGCGACAAAAAATTGACCCACCCGGAGATCGAGGACCAAAACCAATTCAGGATATAGCCGAACGACTCCGCCCGTACTACAGCTGTGTGAATGGTGTGCCTTTCTATGAAACCAATGTCGATGGACTATGCTTAGTGACGTCGCGAATGAAGAGAATCGAAGAGCAGAGGTGAGTTTTCGTTTGGTCACTTACAGGGGAGCTGGTTCCATTCCTGCTCATTTTCTCCAACGTGTGTATCGGAACGGAGTCCTTTCATTATATTTATTTCACTCATCACTTCGTGTTATAAGTCATACTAATACCACGACCCTACTCTACAGTTGTAGTTCTAGGTGTGATCCTTGGTAGGTGGCCATCGCGGGATCGCCTGCAACCGGTC